GAGAATTCAACGCCGAACTCCGTATCACTTCAACCATGGACAAAGGTCCTACATTCAAAACCAACCCCCAGGAAACTTCTCAATCGAGTGATGTCACTCGTCTTCTTCCCCTCCTACGGAGAAGAAACGGACGGCTATTGGAGCACCGTCCACAGACGAATCACACACTCCAAACACTTCTCGGTCAGTTGAAAATCCAAATCGTTTCATTTTACTTGAATCTGATGAAGACTATGCCTTATATCCCCCACCCACACAACAGTTCATTAATAAAGAACAGAAGACTCATCGAATCAAAAAAACCGACGTTTTGGGGCCTGAGATTCAAAATCGATCTCAGCCTGAAACAGCCAAGCAGGGCAACCAAAGTCTTTCACTGAACCAGTCTCGCCGATTTTGTCGCCTGCGCCGGAAACGGAGAAGCTGATAAGTCGGTAGGTCCATTAACGAAGGACGGCAGTCTGGATTGCCAAACCGGGTACAACTAACGTGATAGGGCTTGACCCAAGTACCTCATCCAGAACATGGGCTGATATTCTACGAGGTAAAACCACTTGGGCCCCTGCGGAACTCCTATCACACGCACGAAACTATCCTCTTAATCATTTTATTACCTCCCATACGGATATTCTCACATCACGGATTCCGAAAAATTTCACTTCTTTGGATTTGACTCTATCAAATTACAATCAAAGACCTTTAAGTTTGGAATAAGAAACACTGAAATTTCAATTTTGGAAATCTCACTTGCACTCCTCTAATCATCCGCTATATTTATCAGCTGACAGGAACCGACCTTACCTACAAACATCTAAGAAGATTTTGACCTATCTCGGTCTCTTCAAATTTTAATAAAGCCGGTAGCTTTATCAAGATTGCCAAAGATAAAGGAGCTTTCATTTTAATTCTTGTGGGCCCACAAAAATCTATATTACTCCAATTCCTGACGGTCTTTTCTAATTTCGTGGGAGTCTCTGAAGTAGTACAGGAGGAACCTATGCACCGTTACTAGAAACCACGCCAATCACAGAAGAGCCAACATCAATTTCCAAGCTTATTTTTGATTGCCAAATTCAAGGAGCATACTCAGAGAAAGAATGGCCTCCTACTCCAGTGGAACAACACAAGCTTGTTCAGGCTTACTCAAATGCTTCAGACAACTTTTACCAATCAGACGACCCTTTTTTCATGGACGACTTCCTGGGACATGCAACTGAAAGTGATCGTCGTCCCCCTATTTCAACTCCGGAAGAAATCGTGAAATCAAAATTCAACAGAACGATATGCAAAAAGTCCAAATTTGTTACTTCAGAAAATTGTCTGCCGACGGACAACTTGAACACGCAAATCAAAATTTACAGGAAATATCAAAAGAATAAGAGGCGGCACAAGATGAGGACTAGGTCTCAGTCTAGAGAATTTCCTTGGGTGTAATTTTAGGCTTTATTTTCTCTGTACTTTTTTACTTTGTTTCTTTTATTTCCTTTTCGATTTGTACTTTTGACTTTTATCAATAAAATTCTCTTTTCCAAAAAAGAAAAGAAAAGGATAAGCTTATAAAGCATACTACCTCTGTATTTAAAAGATCATTGCATCAGGTGTAATATTTAAGGGTAAAATAGTAGGAGTAATGAATAGCGTAGAAAAAGTAGGAGAGGGGGTGAAAAAGTAGGAAAAACAATACTTCGTATAAAAGTTAGAAAAAGTAAGGATAATTTGGTAGTTTTAAAGGAAAATTTTATCAAAAATGGGAGTAAAATACGGAGGGAGTAAAATTATAAATTGGAGTTGTACTTATTTTTGAATTAAGAATTACTATAGATTCTACCTATTGAATGTGTTTTGAAGTTATTGTGCTTAAATGATAGCATTACTTTTCATATACGGACTCAACTAACATTTTCTCACAAATTCAAATTTGAGTATTGTTTAATAATGTCATAACACACTTTCACATATTTACACACCCCCTTGATTCGCCAATTTATCCGGGCAATTCGTGTAAAAAATGCAATTTGTATAAATGCACTGTCACCATATTACTTGAGATGTTTGTACTTACACTTATTTCAGTATCAGACCAAACCAAACTTAAACAAACCAGACCAGACCATACTTGGATATTAGAAATAGTAGAAACACCTATTTGAACATTTTCCCACAAATTTAGATTCAAGTATAATTCAAGAATGACACAACACACTTTCACATATTTTACTCTCTTATTTTACCTATTTAGAGAGACAATTCGTCTAAAAAATGCAATTCTTGTAAAGTTATAGTCACATTATTATTTAGTCATTATAAATAATTTACCTTCAATTAATTTATATAAACCTTTGAAAATGAAAAAAATGGCAAAATCATTTGTGCATCGCAAGGTGAATTACCAGGAAAACATTTTACTAAAAGAAATGATTTTGACATAAGTTAGTGCGAGCTAAAATGTGTTGATTCCTAAGCATTCCTATTAACAACTTCAAATGTTAACCATGTGATGCACGATCAGCGATGAGATACAGATGTACTATGACTGTACATACATTTTTGTGTGCGAGGCTGCTTGGCGCATATTTGGGTTTGAAATTCAATATAAGACCCCGGCAGTTGAACCTTTGAGCTTCCATTTGCCGGAAGAACAAAGTGTTGTCTTTCACGATGATCAGCATTTGGATTCAGTGGTTCGGGCATGTTTAGTTAAGGACAGTATGTTCACAGCATGAATGGGGGCCAATAAGAAGTACACGAAAGTAATGCTTTAGTATTGTGATTTCAATGCATATTTACAATGTTATGGTTTCGATGTATTTGTGGATGTTTTTGATCTTTTAAGTAATGCTGATGGAAACATGAATCACAGCCATGGCCCAAGATTGAATTAAAGCAAAGCCCATCAATGGGATCAGCCCATCTACGGGATCAACCCTCAACGGGATCAGCCCATCTACGGGATGAGTCTAATTAACAGGATTAGCCCATAAACGAGATGATGGAGTATATGGCCCAGGAACCCCCGACCCATAGACTCCTACTTCTCCTACACAGGCCCGTTGAGCCCAGAGAACATCTCAGGCCCAAATGCAACGGCCCAAGCCTCGAAGAAGCCCAATACACACTGGGGGGCCCTCGCCCCCCTGGCCGAAGGCTCCAAATTACACAGGGCAGCCAGTTTCGAGCATACGAAACCATCGGGAAAAAACGGCAGAAACAGACTCCTCGGCATCAGAGAAGCCTTCGGCCATGTAGACCCCTCGGCTACAGGAAGCCCTCGGCTGCGTGGAAAGCCTTCGGCTAAACAGACTCAATCATCGAAGATTCCCTTTGGAGACAGCCAACCACCGCATTTAATGCGACGTCACATCCACCCACCGCATTCAATGCGGTGAACATGCCACTGCCGGTGCCACCCGATTGATATGACCCCTCGGCCGTTGGATTACTGACACGTGTACTCTCATCGCATTTATTGCTGCTATAAATAGCAGCCCATGTCTCCTTGTAAACGATCCCAGATCTCACACGCTGAGTTCATTTAATAAAATCGACTCTTTCTCCTCCTATTTTGCTCTGACTTCTCTCTAGTTATTCCCGCAATAACCCCTCGGATAAGATACCCCCCGGGTAGACTATCCATCACGGGAGTAATATCGAATGAGCCACTGGACCCATTGGGAATCAGGCCCACGATAGGAAACCATAACCAGGCTGGGATGGACAGCAGACCTTGAGCCTAGGCGGAGTTCTAGTGAGGCCGGGATATTCCTGAGGCCTACATGGCAAGGTACCATTCGGTATATAGATCAGATATTTGGCAACAGAGGAATTCAACAACTAAAAGGAGAAAGTAATCGTGTGGGAATCAAGCATCGAAGGAGTTCTATTTCGTGCAAGAATAATAGTTTATTAATTAAGCATTTATTATACCCTTTATTATATTAGATTCCTCCCATAATTCTATTTCTTAATCTCTATAAATACTTCATGTAAACATCCTACCAAGGGATCGGCCATTGTGATTCCGAAATAAGAGTAATACTGCCTTACGCTGCCATATTGTTTTCGATATTATTTCTATACTTTAAGTATATTCAGCTCTCGTAATTGGATTAAACTCCATCAAATGCTTAGTAATCTCATTTGACCATAATATTATAAGTGTGTTTCGTTTAATGCTTTGATGTATATCAGCATTACATGAAGATAGATGATGTCATCAATTGATAGTGTGATTTGAATTACTAAGCACACATAAATTTGAAAGAAAAATTCTCAAACCGTGCATCGCACGAGTGAGTTTACTAGTTGGTACTAAAAATATACTCCCTTCGTCCCTTAAAACTTTGCCAACTTTCCATTTTTAGATGTCCCACTAACTTTGCCACTTTCCCTTTTAAGTAAAGAATTTGTGGTTCCAGTTAATTCTCTCTCCTCTGCACAAAACTCAACCGCACAGTTTTTACTTTATTAATCTCCGGGCTGGTCAAACTTGGCAAAGTTTTAACAGCCTGTATGGATGAAGTGTTGACAGGCGTTAGTAATGGAAGTGTTAGTAAGGGTCCGGAAAGGAAGGTAAGTGTAAGTGTTGATTATAAATTAACCTTGTTTGGGAGAGCTAAAAAAATGGAGTGTTAGTAAAAGAAGTGTTTTTCCATCAATTTACGAATATGTCCTTACTTTTATTATATTACATTTAAAATTTCTAATAAATACTCTGTATTAAAAATGAAATACTTGCATCTGGACGATATATATGTATATTTTAAAACAACAAAGATGAATTATCGGTTTCATCACTTCCGAGTTAGTAATGGTCAACACCTCAAAACACTCCAAATCGGGGTGTTAAAAAAGTGGACATTTGAGGTGTTAGGAAGGAAATTACTAACACTTATTAAGTGTTGCTGATGCTTCTTTATTTTTCTCTGAAACAATTGTTAATGTTAACACTTTCATTACTCAACACTTCCATTACTAACACTGAATTCAAACAGACGCACGGAGGTAGTACTCTATAGAAAATGGTTTTACTATTAGCCCAAAGTGTTTGATCCGGTCCAAAGTGTTTCATCTCTTAGCCAGACGGTGTACGCTATATTGCTCTCTCCCTTCATTAGGTCGGACGCAGTCTACACACCGCGCCGTCCGTTCGTCTAATGTCCTGAGGTTACTCCATTATTATTATTACCAACTGTTCGTCTAATATATTTTATCTTATCAGCAGTGAATAGACAGCTTAGCGGGTGTTGTTGAGGTTCGTTCTTTATCTGTTTCTTTCATTTAAGCGATGAATTATTTTCTAACTTAAGGACTTGTAGTAATTTAATGACCAACCAATATGATGGCAGTGTTGCCTTCTTAAGGAGGAGAGTCAAATGTCTTTCTGGGGTGAGTTTTGTGTTGCACTTTTCTGCATCTTTTTTCTTCATATTTCTCATCCAAATCTGTTTATTAATTTTCATTTTTACTTGTTTTTTAAATGAGTTTAGGAATTGAAGTTAAACCTGCAAAACCGGTCACTCATGTGTTTGATCAGACACGAGGAAGGCTTCGGATTTCTCAAGTAATCTCCCTTTTTATTTTCATATTTCTGGTCCCCGAACAAATGAGTATAATCATCATGTGTTCAATAATCAATATCTGTGCCCTATAAAAATCAATACCTGTAGGCAACATTGGGTATTGGCAGTGCAAACACAAAGAGCTTGGTTCAGTGCAACGTGGGCAATAAAGCTCCACTTTTTCTGTGCGCATTGTTGCCTGAAAGGACAGAGTCTTGCCATTTGGATTTGGAATTTGAGGAAGCAGAGAATGTGGTCTTTTCTGTTCTTGGACCAAGAAGTATACATCTAACTGGTTACTATGTGGGTAAGAGTTCCAATGCACATTTAGGAGGAGGAGGCAGTGATACAGAGTCATATGGAGAGGATGTTGGCCACACAGACACAGATGTGTCCAATGAGTGTAGTGATGAAGATGAATACGAGGACAGCTTTATTGATGATGGAGAGCCAGAGGTTCTCCCTTCTTCACCCATTTCTAGCGATGAAGATGTAGCAGCTGAAGGTAAATGATGATTAATCTTGATGAAGTTGTGTATATGGAGAACTATGGGTCATGTTTTAGTGAAGAGTAGTGCTGTTATGGAAATCAAGCTCAGCTCGAGCTCGGCTCGACTCGGCTCGATTAAACTCGGGCTCGGCTCGTATATTAGAGGAAACGAGTCGAGTTCGAACTCTTTTGTTTACTCGATAAAGTTCACGAGCCGAGCTGGCTCGACTCGATAAAACCCGGTGAAGCTCGATAGGGCTCGTGAGGTGGGCATATTGTCATTTTATTACATACTCCGCATTAGGTTTAGGCGTTTAGTTTAGGCCCATTAGAATGTAGACCGACTTTAATCTTTCTATTTCGGTGCTACAGACTCTCTTGTAAGGAATCATTGAAGAATTCTGTATTTATCTTTAAACAATGGTGCTGAAGTGACTTTTGCTTTAATTTGGTGTATGATGATATTGTAGTTAATACATGGGTTTTTCGAGTTCGAGTTGTCGAGCTCGAGTAGCTTGACTCGGGTATATTAACGAGTCGAGCTCGAGTTGTAAATTACTTTAACGAGCCGAGTTCAAGCTCAAATACAGAATCGAAATTTAACGAGCCGAGCTCGAGCCAGGCTCGAAATTTGAGCGAGTCGAGTTCGAATGTGTGATACTCGGGCTCGGCTCGGCTCGAATAACAGCACTAGTGAAGAGTCTATTCGACAGTTTTTAAAGCTTTTTTTGTGACCTGTTTGTTCAGTGGTAAACCTAGTTCTTCTTAGTTTAGTTATGGGTTCACCTCGTTTTATTTGCAAATTTATGACAAGAAACTAGGTTTTCAAAGAACCTAGGTTTACCTTGGAGAAAGTTTTTGAACGTTAGCTTCTATTCATAAGTAATTTTTCACCTAGCTTAATCTTTATCTGAATTCACCTAGCGCACTAAATAGCCAAACAATACTTCTATATATGCAACTTGTTTCTCCTAGGTTGTCCCATTTTATACTCATTCAGCATGTGTAATCAACTAACAGTCAAACATGGTCTACATGTCTATTGGAAGCACAACCTTCTATGTAAGAAGGGCATTGTCTTTGTATCTGATAGAATTCTAACACATGATTTCATTTATCTTGACCATATCACTGCATTGTCTCTTCCCATTATTAATTTGGAGGAAATCACCAAAAGGGTTGTAGTAGACTCGAAAGAAATAACATTTCATTAATTCCTTTAAAAAAATGCCCAGGAAGCAAGAGAGGGAACCAATGGCTTAGGAAGAAACACCAAGTAATTGACTCTGATGATGATGAAAACACTCCTGAAAATGAAGCATCTCCAAAGAAATTATCATCACAAAGTGGAGAAGATAGTGGCAAGGTGACAGTTCAAGCAGAAAATGGTGTAGGGGGTACTGAGGAAAATGTTGATATTAGTGATGCTGAGACCGCAAAGAGTGAAAAGCCTAGCAAGAAACGGAAAAGCAAGTCTGATAATGCAAAATCTGTTGAAGTTCCTGTAGAGGTTAAACCCCTTGCTGAAGAGGGATCTGCGGACGGCCAGAAATTAAAGAAGAGGAGAAAAGGTAACAAGGGAGAGAAAGTGGATGAATGCAAAGATTCATGTCCTATCAATACTCATGAAAAGGTCAAGCAAAATCTCGAGGCCACTAATACCGTCAAGGATTTAATTGAAACTCCTGATGAAAATAAATTGCAAAGTAGTGCTCAGTGAGTTTCCGGGACTTGGTTTCTTATTACACTACTATGTATTAGTTTGTTGCAATTTCTTTTCATTTCTTATATTGAAAGCAGTTTGTTAGACAAGAAGAAATTACTTATGAATTAATCATTTTTTGATGCAGAAATGATGATGCTAATTGTGGTGTAGCTAATGGACAACATATGAAGAAACATGAAAAAAAGAAGAATAAGAAGACCAAAGTTGTGGATGAAGGAGCCAACAATGGTGTGAGTGTGGAGTCCTGCGGAATCAGGACTTTGTCATATGGATTGACTACTGAAGACCTTGCAATTGGAGAAGCTGATGGAAAAATTGCTACTCCAGGGAAAAAGGTCAACCTATTTTTTTATTTTTTATTTTTATTGTCGCAATATATTCATCAACTTTAAGCCTTTGTTTGATTTAAAAGAGGAAAGGAGTGTGAGAGGAAAATGGAAGAATTTAAATAGATGTTATGTTCCGTTCAGTGGAGTAGTCAGGAGAATTTATTATTTTTGAAAAAATTTTGTAATTAAATTTATTTTTGAAAAAATGTTGTAATCAAATATATGCTCCATGGCAAGTAACAGTAATAAATAGAAAACATAGGTCAGTTTTGTTTTTTTTTCAAAAAAATGTGAAAAATTAAATGCAGAAGAAATTCCCTCAAGGGTACTCTACTTTTCTCTCCTTCCTTCCAAACCCTCCCATAAAAAATGGCTGAATGAGCATGTTGGAGGATCCTCGATGAATATTTGTATGAAACTAATCTTGTACAGGTGAAAATTTACTATACTGGCATCCTGAAAGAAAACAAGCAGGTTTTTGACTCCAATATTGGTGAAACTCCTTTCAAATTCCGCCTAGGTACTTGCAATGACTAGAAGTTAATTATATTTAGTTCAAACTTATGTTACTTGCTTTATCCTCACTGTTCTAATGGTTTTGAAGGTGACAAACGCATTATTGACGGGTGGAACATTGGTCTTGAAGGTGAACACACCTACGACACTCCAATAATTCACATTTCTTATCAACTTTTAATGCTAGTAATCTAGAATCATAGTATGTATCACTCAGGTGTACATTTTACCTTTATTTGCAATTGTAGGCATGCGTGTTGGTGGCAAAAGGAGACTTGTCATCCCTCCATCAATGGGGTATGCTTTATTTCAATCCTCAGTCCTATAGGATCCATTTGGATCCCAGAAATTACTACAGAATGATAATAGGGATGGAAAAAGAGGTGAAGAAAAGGGTTAAAGACACTAAAACTAAATAAGTTTATTTTAGACATTAGTTCAAACTCATTTTTGTCTATTGACATCTATTATGTTAACACTAAGAAATCGAAATGCATGTCAAATCCACAAATGATCAATCAGATTTCATTTTCATTTACATTTGCCACAAATATTTTTTTTATTTTTTTTCTAAAATTGTTAAATAATGGACAACAACTTCATTTTTGTAGAGGCTATTACAGTGCTTGTATGGATAAATAATAAAATTAACCGTGACTGGAAAATTCTAACTGGAATATGAAACTAATAATACTGCTAAAACTATGATAGCAATATTACTACTGTAACAAACAAGAATCTCTAATCCTACCAAATCTTTGATACCTATATTACTTCTTTAACAAAAACTTTTTGTTGCAGCTATGGCAGCCAGGGAGGTGGAGAGAACATCCCACCAAACTCATGGTTGATTTATGAAGTTGAATTGGTTGGAGTCCGTAAATGAGTTTTTATTTTATTTTGCGTTAATGTTGAAGATACTTTTTTTTGATGATGATGATGTTGAAGATACTTTTTTGAACTTGAAACCCTTGAGAAAGTCCGTCCTTAAGAGATGATAAAACTGTAACAGTGTGATCCTGGGATTTTGTTTGCGGTATGATAATAATAGATACAATTGATAAATGGGTTGCTTATTGATTTCAGGACATAGTTATATTGTAAAAATCGATATGAAATATTTTATTTCGAAGAGTATGAGTGTACGGAGTTATGACTTGTCAAGTAGTTTGGGAATTGGGAGCATTTGATTACACTCTCGCTTTGAACGTGTGATGATTTTAAACCTTGTCCGTATACTGCTTACAAAGCTGTCATTTGGAGGATTAAGCCTTCATGTGGGTTTTACTTTTTTTGAGGTCTTTAGAGAGGTTGAGGAAAAGGGAGTTAGTGGAGCCAATATCCATTAGTTGGTTTAGATCGTTATGGTTGTACACTTGTACACATAAATTGTACGGAGTACCACCTCCATGGAGTAGTATGAATGTAATTTGTTCTTATTTAGTTGTAACTATTCTACTTTCATACTTTGTATCTGCTACCACAACTCTTATAGAATTAATATTTGTAGTGGCTACTGCTGGTAATAATATTACTACGTACAAAACTCATGTTTTGAATTATACATGAGGCAAATTTAACAGTTATTTCCATAGTACGGAGTATGATTTTTCAAGAAATAATTTCTAGTGGAAATTACCCCGGTAGACCACTTTTCTACTCGGCATATCATTCATGACCCCGTACAAATTTCTTTTCATATTTAAACTTTTAGGGCCTGTTTACTAACAGAGATATTTTTCTGTTTTCATTTTCTGTTTTCAAGTCTCCATTTTTCTGTTTTCGTTTTCCAAATCAGAAAACATGTTTACCAGAGTTTTTCAATTTTTCACTTCACATGCATTTCCAAAAATGTTCAGTTGAACACTCCAAATATTGAAAGCAATGTATAATCAAATTACACTTTAGCAAAATACAGAACCCAACTTGTTCTTTATAAATTACCATCGTATAAGCCAACTTTGAACACCCAAAACAAAAAACTTGAATACATAGAAAACACTAATAGAACCCACTGATAATGTTTATACGTTATATAATAGAAAACACTGACTACATAGAAAACTCTATTATACATTATATAATAGAAAACACCATTGCAAAGTCTTTGAATACATAGAAAACTATCACTTGAATATAGTGCCTCCATAATGTTATATATGTTAATCTAACCCACTGACCGATACAATGATACAAATACAATTTGAAAAAAAGACCATTAGAATCCAATAAACATTCTGGAATATGAAAACTATCATTCAGGATCTAAACAATATCATAAAGACCATATAAATAATGAATTTTGGTTACTTCAAAGTAATATTTTCATAGAAGAACATGGATAGAAACGAAATGACCTCTATTAATCAAGGTTAGCTAGTGCTGGTTGAGGAACTAGTTGATAAAAACTCAACTTATAATGCATGGAATTTACAAACCAATGTCAACCTAATACCATAGGAAACATCAATGATTGAAGAACTTTTAAAGTACAAAATGATATCCTTTACTCCTTTATAGAGTTCAAAAGAAAAAAAAACGGCCTACAAATTCTACAGAAGCACGCATGAAATATAGCTGTTACACTGTCACGCCCCGGACCTACCCGGACACGTCAACAATCCGCCGTACAGTATGAATAGTCAACCGCAGTCTAACACATCAATACTATACAAGGCGTCTGGAATATCATTCACACATAGTACATCCATAAACAAACATAATGTAAAATAATCATTAAAGCAGCGGAAACAATATTACAAGTGTTCAAGCCACACTTGGCAAACTTAGGCATACAAGCCCTCAAATAACTTATTAGAAAATATTATCCATGAGCATCATTGTAATTGTTTTGAAAACAGAACGGAGGAAGCACGAACCACGTCTTCTCTCCAAGAACTCCCGAAGCAACGGGTACAGGAAGCAAGCTCTAGCTTCTACCTGAAAACTGTGAGGTGGCCTCCCCCGTGAAGGGGAGGTCAGTACTTTGAAGCATTTGAAAAGTACAATGACAACTATACCGCATATAATTAATGTTTCAATCCTTAAGACCCTCAACATAGGTGTTATCATAATACTAGGAAATAACCCATAGTTACCCCTTTCGAATCATACATAAGTATATATCGTCAAATAGTCGGCCCATAGGCCCATTTGTATTTTGTCAAAACCCTTTTGCATCGCCATACGATATTTTATTTCCCCGTTTGTTTTTAATAATACAATTCAAATCGCTCTGTGATAATTCAAAATATAATCTGTATCGCCCTGCGATAATCTAAAAATACAATTTGTATCGCCCTGCGATAATTCAAAAATACAATTTGTATCGCCCTGCGATAATTTAAAAATACAATTTGTATCGCCCTGCGATAATTCGTATTGCCCTGCAATAATTCATACAGGACCTGTCACCGCTATCCAAGTCTCCATGGAGCACTCGGTCGGAGTCCAGCATCCTGCCCCTGGACTCATACCCTGTTCCCGTAGGAAGGTAAGGCCCATTCGGGGTCCTATCTTATGTGTTACCGCTGTCAAAGCCTCGCAAGGTCTTTGATTCGGATTCCACCCTTATACGTGATCACGCTGTAAGTCCATGCTATCCATCTCGCTCTCTAGAGCCAAGTAGGGCCATGGTCCTCACATCTATCCTATTGTGGGCCCATGCAGTCCGGCACGATCCTCAGACTCGTCCGACCCATGACCCTCATCTATCTATATTAGCAAGTTCATGCGGTCGGGCATCTATCCTTAGACTAGAGCCGAGCCATGACCCTTGCTACCAATCAAACAATCAATTGCGGGTATCCTAAAGATCACCCGGATAACAATATCAACAACCCATTCCTAGGATAATTATATCATTTAAATCATCTAAGGCTATCCCAAATGAATATCCTAGTGACGAAGCATCACAATCCTAAACATAGGATTAATTTATAAATGTTCATACTATAACCTCGGACTAGTCACTTAGTACCACCCGAGTTATTCTTAGTTCAAATTCTCTTCCCTTTTAAACAAACATGGCGGACATGCCATGACTCATTCTCACTTCATTCTATATTGACTTTACTAACCATAAAGTCAATATAATTAAATAGTGATTAATAAAACATTTTACTAGTTCATCACTAAACCAACTAGAACAACTTCTCAAACATATCAAGTAATCATGCTCCAATTACTTATACCCCAATCAATCATGCCTCAATTCTTCATATACAATAATATGATCAATTGACACTTGGCACATTAGTTAATTAAAATCATGCTTTTATAACATTAGGTAATCTCATGAATTAACCCACTAGTTATAAACAATATAGTCAGCCATCCTCACCTTATGATGTGCTCAACTAGTTGCCTTTGCTAAGCCCTTTGATCAATCCCCGTTCTAGGCCGATTGGAAGTGAAAATTCTGGACAGCAAACAAAAGCCGGGCGGCTTTTGCAAAAGGTGGGCGGCTTTCGGGCCTGCAGCTTGAAAACAGTCCCCAACAATGGCGGTTTCCGGCGGTTTCAACTCCTATCGATTCCACGACTCTTCTAAGTTAAATACCACCACTTTATATCAATATAATACACTTTTAAATGTGTAGAACTCATGGTTTAATCCACCATATGATTCCTTAAAAATCATACAAAAATAATACTAGTTAAAAGAACTATTTGAGTTCTTACCTTGCTTCCTTGTTATTTTCTCTTGGATTTCCTATCCTCCTCCTTCCTCCAAGTTTGCTGGTTGTGAGAGCTCTTCCAAGGCTTCTCCTCCTTTGGTTTGGTCGAGTGATGCAAAGGTGATAGGGGTGAAGTATCCTCACACCAACTAGCTCCAATTATAAGAGGAGTAGGGCCTTAGGAAACTTGCCCATGTCCCCAAACATCCCTTCACTCAATAAGTCCGCACCTCCCATATCAAATTGTCTCAATTTGATTATTTAGAGTCTACAAGACATGTAGGAAAATACCCCAAGTGGGTGTAGGATGTCCCTCCCAATTATTCCTGCTATTTCTGGCAGGTTTGGTCAAAATAACACTTGGGCTGCCCAAACATTTTCCTCAACTTTGGTTGGCATTTTATTGGACTCCTATAATTATTATGATGACCCAACTAAATATTCGGTAGCCCTTTCTCAATATTATGGACCCGTTAAATAATTTAATTAATCATTCATTAATTAAACATACCGTTCTTGCACACATAAATATTCACATAGAAAATTCAAATACATATTGAATTTCAAATTCAAGTACACCCGGGTGCGGTGTCACAAGTTCACCCCCCCTTAACGGGAATTTCGTCCCCGAAATTCACAACGCTACTCAAACGCATACGAAGTAGTGCTTTATTCTTGGAACCATCATTTCCTGAGTCTCCATTTCGACTCAGTTTCATAACCAAGGTCTTAACCATTGGAAACCCCTATGCTTCTCAATTTTCTCACTAGTTTACCCAATATCCCTATTGGTTGTCCAACATAGTTCACATTTTCCACTCTTCTGTACTATTGGTTTCTCCATGACACGAGATGAATTTTGAACATGCTCTTTAAGCATTGATGTAAAGAACTCCATATAGTATCATTTCCAATTCTGGAGTCAATCATGGTTGGTATAATATGGCATCCATTCCTTCTAGAATTTCAGCTAGCCCGATGTAGTGTAGATTTCATTCACCCTTTCATAAGGATACGACAGTTCCTAGGATGTTAAAATTTCAAAACACCTGACCTTTGATTCCAGCTTAATAGATCTTCGTCCTTCTTTGGCACGAATCTCTCGTTTACTTTAAACAAAACTTTGGTTCAATCCAAACCGATGTCACACCTCCCTTAGTAAACTCTACTACTCTTGCACGTCAGAGATCGGTTGTCCCAAACTCAACTTAGTGTATGGGTTTCTAACATCTCTATCCATACCAACGCTTGTGTGGAGGCATGTAATACTAATCTCATAACTTTCTTTTTTCTTTTTTTTTTTTTTTTTTTGCTAACTGCATGAGTGCTTAATGTCAGCCTCATACCAACTTAATTGTCATCATTGTCCTTCATGAAAATTTAAGGGACATGCCC